CAGCAGCCGTGGGAATATATTCCAACTTTCGTGAATTCACCACCTTTGGGTGTATGAACTACTAGGATCAGTGACTCCTCAAGCACATGCTGTTCATGTGTCCCTCCATAAACTAATACGCAATCACCTCCTTTAAGAGTATGACAACGCGTTAGAATAAGAGACGTCCCACCACAATATAAGACCGATATTTCTTAAATCCAATCATGTGTGCCACTTTGGCGGTCACAACCCAATTGAACCCTTAAAACTCTCTCATACCATGGATATAACATTTATGTCTCACATTTACCATATACATGTGATTTTCTTGAAGACAGGGGCAATTTGTCACTAAAATAACATGCCATGCCAATTACATTGCTCCATTCATTGATGGACAATGAATTATACTCTACACATTTCTCATGTGGTGATATACATGTGAGCTACGATATGTATTTCCGAAACCATAGAGAAATACAAGAAAATAAGAAAAATACCCTAAAAATACGTGTATATAGGATTTTATACGTATTTTCATATCCTTAAAAGCCTCAAGCATGTAAAATAAATATACCACAGTGTAGAGCATCTTGATAAGAAGCGGTAGTACCAAGAATGTCCCAAGCGGACGTCGGACGCGCCCTTACACATCGCTAGAGTGCGCGGCGCGTGTGTGCGCCTTCAACCGGTCAAACTGGCTTGAACCGCCGGTCCGATCGGTCTGAACTGTCGGTCCGACGGGTCAAGTCAACGGGTTGGGGTCAGGATCCGGGTCAACCCAGATCCGCGTTGCGAATGTCAGCATGAAGTCACATCGGCAGTTACTAGGGTCGAGACGCGCCGGTTCGTCACGGCTGCGCGTGGCCATCACGCGTCAACGCGCCCACGGTGCGTGTCCGCGCATGAGGGCGCGTGCGGCCTCCTCCGGTGACGCGCCACCCCTCATTTTTCTCGTCTCGACGAGCAAGTTCCAAATATGCAATAAAATTTAACTTTTATATGACAAAAAATTTTGCAAAATGGAAAAAACCTCTCTAACAAGACGAAAACGGTCCTAATCCGCATGTTTCAGTTCTAATCTATGGCAGACTCTGATACCACATGTCGGCCACGGAAATGACACACCTAGGAAGACCATAAACAAAAACTGAAACACCAAAATGGAGAAGTTATCGATTTGTGCACCTGGTTTGGAATTCATCGAACTTGACGCGGAACTGGAGATGGTGTCCGAACACGAACTCAAGTGCTTCTCTACTATTCCCTTCGCCGGAACACTGGCCTAATGAGATTGCCGCTCATGAGAAGAAATTCTTCTCTAGATCCATATGTAAGTCAAATTGTGCATCATCACGCCGTAGGCGGAAGCCGGCCGGCCAGTCGGGCGAGGTTGCCTTAGAGGACGGGCGGACTCGCCCAAGCGACTATTTATAGAGTTTTCGGGCGAGGCGGGCCCTCTCATCGCCGGCTTCCGCCTCTGGCGTCGCTGAGACACGGACAGCGACCGGCCGTAGGTTGAAGATGAAAAAAAGAAAAGAAAAGAAAAGAATAAATAAAAATTCGAAAAAATAAAAATAAAATTTTAATTCATGATAAAATTGTCACATATGTACCAGTTTGGGGTTTTTTTTGGTAAGTTTAGGGTAAAATTGTCACAGGTGTACCAGTTTGGGGTTTTTGGTGGTCAAAAAAATAGTTCAGAGTAAAATTGTCATAGGTGTACCAGTTTGGGGTTTTTTATGGTCAAAAAAATAGTTTGGGGTAAATGAGTCACAAGGGTACCAGTTTAGGGTTTTTCGTGGTATTAACCCTTAGACTTATTAAGAACCCATATATCTTACATTTACATTTATTAGACCAAACTAATACAGTTAATCTCAATTAATGAAGCCCACATTAGAAAAGTTCTTACACAATTATCTCTCAACTTCCTCCTTTTCACTTTTTGTCATTCTGTTACATTGTCAAAGAGGCAGAGAGACCCAAAAAGAACGAGTGAATCACTATGCAGCAGCGGAGGCATCTTCCAAGCCCTAAATAGCAATGTCTACGGCAATGGGACGCGGACTCTGGTCCTGTCCCATGGCTTCAAGGCCAGCCAGACTGTTTGGCACCATGTCATGCCGTTCTTCGCGTTCTTCTTCAAAGTGATGGTCTACGATGGCCTTCATCCACTCGGGCATTTTTGTCATGCCGTTCTTCACAGACTTGTGGGGTTACGTTGAAGACTTGGTGCGCCTTCTCGACGAGCTGAAGGTGAAGAGGAGCATTTATGTCAGTTACTCAGGCTGCGAATGGTAACCATTCTGTTTCAGAAATCAATTTCTGTTCCTGGAAGAGTTTCTTAGCAAAAAAACATGTTTGATAACGACACAAAATTTCTGTTCCAGAAACAGAAATTTGTTTGATAATGGCACAAAATTTCTTCTTCTCGGGTGGTAGGTGGATGGTGGCGGGAGGAGGGTGGGTGGCGGCGGGAGATGGTGGCCGACGGCGGGCGGCGGCGGGAGGACGGTGGCCGACGGTGGGAGATGGTGGCCGATGGACGGCGGCCAACGGTGGCCGGTAGTGGGAGGTGGGTGGCAACCAAAAGAGGGCGATTAGCGGTGGGAGACGGTGGCCGGTGGACGGCGGCCGGCGAGAGATTGTGGCCGATGGACGGCGGGCGGCGGCCCAAGGCAGCCGGCGGTGGGAGGAGGGCAGCCGGTGGACGACAGTTGGCGGTGGGAGGTGGGCGACGGTGATAGGAGGAGAGAGGCCGGGGGTGGGAGGCGGGTGGCGGTGGGAGACGGTGGCCGGCCTACAGCGGCCGGGAGGCCCACGGTGGCCGGCAGCCCATGGCAGCCGGCCTACTGCAGCTGGCGACCCACGGCGGCCGGCGGTGGGAGGTGGGCGACGGCCAAAGGCGGGCAACGGTGGCGGCGGGAGACGGGTGGCGGCGGGAGACGGGTGGCGGCGGGAGGAGGGTAGGCGGCAGCGGGAGACGGTGGCCGGCGGCGGCGACCGGTAGCGGCGGTCGGCGGGTGGCGGCGGCCGGCGATGGGCGGCGGGTGAGCGACCGGCTAGTAGTGAGGGAAAGTGATGAGAAGAACAAAAAAATTTTGTTTCTCATTTCTGTTCCAGAAATAGAGAAGCAAAAAATTTTAACTTCTGATTTCTGTTCCAAACCTATTTCTGGAACAAAATTTTGTTCCAGAAATAGAAATTGGAATTTCGTTATCAACAGATTTCTGTTCCAAACCTATTTCTGGAACAAAAATAGAGAAACAGAATGGTTATCATTTGCAGCCTCACATGTCGACCATGATCGGGTGCTTGGCCGCAATACACAGGTCCGACCTCTTTGAACACCTTGTGCTGCTCAGTGGATCTCCAAGGTAGGTCCTCTCTCTCTCTCTCTCTCTCTCTCTCTCTCTCTCTCTCTCTCTGACACATATATTCTAAGTTGCTGATTTACTGGCAGAGCCGGAGGTAAGAAGTATTGTCGCCAGATATTGTCTGTAGATTCACATGCACACATAAACGAACATTGTATCTCAAATATCCTATGAAAATTAGAATTTTCTTTTTGCCTCACAGCCTATGTTAAAAGCAGAAAGACAGATAAAAGTCCATATAGATTGTGTTATATGCACGACATGTGTCATCTTGGCAACTAGCTTGAGCGCTACATAAAAGCTGATATGATTCTTGATCTTTTAACATCATTATATTAACATATGTCTGATTTACAGGTACCTCAATGCCAAAGGATACACTGGAGGCTTCGATGAACCGGCGATCAACTTGCTACTTCAATTGATGCACGCGAATTACTCAGGTTGGGTCCATAATTACTCTCCAATAGCAATAGCACGGAACAACACGAGTGCACTGATGGAGTTCGAGCACCGCTTGGGACGAATAGAGCCTGAAATCGCGATAAGCGTAGCTAAAACCGTGTTCCTGAGTGATCTGAGATGGGCTCTTTCGAAAGTGCCTGTTCCGTGCTCCATCATTCAATCCGGTAAGGACGTGGTCGTGCCAGCGTCAGTCTCGCATTACATGAAGAGGAAGATTGGGATGCACCTCCAAGGTGAAAATACTGAGGACACAAGGCCATTTTCCAATGCTCACCGCTTATCCTGTGCTTCTGGATGCCTTGAAGGGGGCAATTTAACTTCATTCGATGTCCGGTTTGCATGAAAGAGAAGTAGTCAAAATCTTCGCTAGAGCCGGTCCACCTCATTATTTTGTTGGGAACATGAATGGTAACCAATTTATTTCAAGTTAAGTTTGTACGTAGGTAATGTTTATATTGGGAACCCTTTATGGAGGCTTTTCTCTAATTCGAGATGGAGAAAATCACCAACCTCTTAATTATGGTTCAATTCCAACCCTCTTTTATATCTCTCATATATATATTTTTGTTTTATATATTATAATGAAAGTACACTTTTGATCCCTTTATCTTATCAACGTGTGTTCTGTTTCTTAAACTTTTTTAAGCAAGTAAGTCCACAAACTTATTTGATTTGTGTCTGTCTGCCTTCTACTGCCAATTATTTGCATGTAGCTTTTCTAAGATATGCTCTTAGCGTCCTACATCAGAAACATAATACAATAAAACGTGAGAAAAGGGAGAAGGGAGGGCCACCAATGCTCCACCACAGGTGAGGGCCTCCGAAAACCCTCTTTGAATGTTTGCGGAGGTGATTCGCCCCATTCACTTCTAGCGACGACCGGAAAAAGTACCAAAAAAAGTCATAAACCTATTGTATTGATACCAATTTAGACCTAAAATTTTTAATTGGACCAATTTAGTCATAAATCTTTTTACATTAGTACCAATTCAGTCCATTCGGCCAATTTAGACCGGAAATCGTTAATGTGAACGCCGGCCGTTATACGTGGCACAACCAATGCTGACGTGGATATTTTTTTAATAATTTTTTGGATTTTTTTTCCTTTCCCTTTTCTTTATCTTTTCTTTTTGCTGGTGCCGATGGCTAGTCGCTAGCCGATGGCCATAGGCCATGGCCGGTGAGCTTTGGCGAGGCCCCCTTCACCAGATCTGGCGAGGCCAACCCTCACTGAGGCCAGGGTGGCCTCGCTGCGCCTCACCTAGGTGAGGGTCAGCCTCACCAGATCTGGTGAGGGGGAGGGGGGCCTCTATGAAGCTTAGGTGTGGCTCGACGAGGCCGATTCTCGCTTGTGGCTAGTGAGAGCGACCCTTGCTCAAGCGAGGCCAGCCCTCACCGACCGTGGCTTGTGGTAGGCGACTGGCCACCGGCACTAGCAAAAAGAAAAGGGAAAGAAAAGGGGAAGGGAAAAAATCCAAAAAATTATTAAAAAAATTCAACAAATTTTTTAAAAATTATTATAAATTATAAAAAATATCCACGTCAACGCCGGCCGGCATCCACATCAGCAATTTCTTGCCCAAATTGGCCAAATGGACTGAATTAGTACCAATGTGAAAAGGTTTAGGATTAAATTAGTCCAATTGAAAAGTTTAGGACTGAATTGGTATTAATGCAATAAGTTTAGGACTTTTTTGATACTTTTCTGCCGCTTATGATCAAGCCCTTGGGCGTGCTCCCGCGCAAATTGGGGACGGCAATGAGTACCTCGTAGCCCTTGTCTAGATTTGTAGTGGTGATTTGATTAGGTGCTGCTACTAGGCTTGGTGGCAAGGGCAATAACCCTCGCTCGAGTAATAGCGACGGCTAGTTGCCCTTCGCGAATTGGAGGGGCGAAGTAAAGGTGGCAAAATGGGTCAATAACCCATATATTAACTCATATTTAATGATTGTGAGTCATAAATGGGTTGGCTTTAATTTTAAAAATAAGCTTAAATGGGTCATAAATAGGTTGTCTATTAACTTAATGGGTCTTAAATGTATTACCTAACAAGCTTAAGTGAATCATAAACATGTCATTCTTATTTATTTATTTTTTCTAAATTTTTTAATAATTTTTTATAGTATTTTTATTCTTTGGCGGCCGGCTACCGGTGGAGGAAGAAGAAAAAAGAAAAAAGGAAAAGAAAAAGAAAGAAAAAAAGAAAAATATATTTTTCAAATAAATAAAAATAAAAATTATTAAAATGAGTGCACAGAGGAAAATCAAATTAGATTTTTCATACCAAATGGCGGAAAATATTTTCCAGTCAATTTTCAGGTTTCAGCCAAAATATCAGAAAATAAAATGACTTCCTAGAAAATATTTTTTAGAAATGTCACATTTTCTGCGAAATATACGGAGCCTCAATTTTTTTAGAAATTGTACACTAGATGTGTATTGCACGAAAGTGTTTTAACAATATAATTTAAAAAAAAAATCATAACAAACAAGCTTTCCTAGATTTAGTTAAATGGGTCGGGTCGGGTTTGGGTCGAGAATTTTGCATTGCAATAAATTGATCATAAACAGGTTAAATGAGTCAATTTGGGTTGGACCATTTATGACTCAATCCACCCGTTTGAAAGGTCTAGGGCGGAGCACCTTCCTATCCCTACCCCTCTTTGTTTCTCTCCCCTTTTGTCTTTCATTCATGTGCATTTTGCTAATGTGGAGTGCCAGGTTAGCTTCACATGATAATTTCTGTCACATTAGCCTCGTTGAGCCAACACAACTAAACGAATTAGTAAGGACGGGTAACAGAATGCTCCTTGTAGCACCTCGCCTTCCCAAAGTTATCCGGATTTTAAAATTCTAGATGTTTGGGAGAACTTGATTAATCACCTAGAAGTCAATTGGACTATTATAATTAAGTATATAGGCCAAGAGTTCAGTTACGAATATAAAATGATTAGTGCCCCACGTAGCCCTTTCGCTAAAACATTTGTTGGTTAACTTCTATCGTGCAATAGCATGGTATTTCCTAGTTCAAATATATATAATTCTACTTTGGGTTTTAAAAATTCAAAACTTCATTGCCCGCCCTTAGGTGAAATTGCCACATCATGGGGGCAGAAGACGACTCGACTCCATCGTGCCATGTGCAATTAGTGTCTTTTCGAGAATATGCACTGCATGTGAAGCAAATGGATGAACCCAATCCGTGACAACCAACAATCCAATGCCAAATAATAGCCAGTACGCCCCGTGTTGACATGCAATAACTAAGTTAGAATCGAAACAACTAACAGAGACGAATCCAACCCCAACTAATTAATATTCAATCAAGCGGGCATGAACCCAATGCGATATAATAGTCAATACACCTTACGTATGCATGTAAACACTACGTTTGAATGCGAAACAACTAATTGGGACGTATCCAATTCCGTCAAAATAATGTTCAATCAAATGGACATAAATCCAACGCCAAATCAATCTATGCATCACACTAATCGTCTTGTTTTTATTTTATTTTATTTACTATAGGCACCTGATAAGAGATTCTGAAATTTAAGTCTTCTCACCTACTTTTCTGATTTCGAAAGTTTGTTTATAGTAAGAATTTATCCAAGAAACATTGTCAGCCTACGAATTACAAAACAATATGGATTTGTTTAGGAGATCGGAGCGTAAGCATGCTCCGGAATAGCAAATTAAATTTAGGCTTTCATAGAATTTAGTTACACAGTTTTTCCAAAAATATCATGACCGAATCTCCAGTTTTTGGATTCTCAATGAAATTACAGATAATTCTCTTTATTCAAATGGCTATGGCCAATGGCTTGAGAAATTAAAAGCTGTATATTTTTCATAGCTAATTGATCATTCTGAATTTATAATGCTAAAAATATGAGAGATCATTGTGTGAGAGTTTCGATTTTGAGTATTCTTTTTTTTTTTGTTTCATTTCATCTCTATTGTTATTTTAAAAATAATATTTTTTGCTAACAGAAGAAAGATGGAAGCTTATTTGATTCGACTTGATGACTATCTGAAAAACAACATTTTAGAAAATTATGGATTTTATATCAAAAAATATTTGATGCTAGCATTGCAGGGCTAAAGTCTTGCTTTCTTTATTTGTAGAAGAAAGCTTTCTAATATTTCTAAAATTGGTTCTTTTATTGGATAAACAACAACAGGTTTTTGGCTAAAAATAAATAAAAAATACGGAAGTAAATAAAGTTCCATTTAACATGAGAGAATTATACATAGAAAAAAAGAAGAAATTTATTGTTCCTAGACTTAGGTTGAGTGAAGAAACTAGAAAGGCAAGTTCAACAAATATTTGGCTAGATGTTTATGCTTATTGAAGTTCATTTTGATTAGTTTACTTAAAAAAGGATGTGGTTTAAGTAACATACAGTGTGAAAATAGTCAGGAAAATTATCCAAAAAGTCCTAAATCTATTGCACTTTTGCTAATTCAATCATAAACTTTTCAACTTTACCAATTGAATCATAAACCTTTTCACTTCTTACCAATTGAGTTCACCTAGCCAATTTTGGTCGGAAATCATTGACATGGACGTTAGGTGGCCACGTGGCGCTGATGTGGATATTTTTAAATAATATTTTAATAATTTCTGAATTTTTATGGTTTTTGCCTCTTTTTTTTTTTTTTTCCTTTTCTTTGTTTTGTTTTGGCTTTTGGAGTTAGGGCCGGCGAAGGTGGCTGACCGACCCTCGCCGGCTATGGACGTGGGCGTTGCGACCTCGCCAGCTCTGGGTGAGGGCCACGATGCCGTCACTAGCCAAAGCGAGGGCGGGCAAACCCGCGCCCACATTTGGCTAGGCGAGGGCATGGGGCTCGCGAGGGCCGCCAAGCACCTTGCCTGGGGTCGGCGAGGGCCGCCAAGCTCTCGCCTAGCCAGAGCTGGCAAGGGCCGTGACGCCTTTGCCTAGAGCTAGTGAGGATCGCGGGCCCTCACCTTGTGACATCCTGAAAAATAGTCCATTTGGGATTTATAAAATACTGAGTTTTATGAATGTACTCGTAGTTAGTTCTAACCCGGAACTGATCATTCCTGGGATGCTAACCATTAGGGAAAGGCTAATCGGGGAATTAAATTCGTACGACTAAACGAAAATTCGATCATGAATTGACTTACGACCATAAAATCGTCGAGGTGATATTTTGAGCCACTGTTGGCCGATCTAAGGATAGTCAGGGGTCAGTTCGCCACTGTCACAGTAGTGGATCGCGGGTGATACCGCTGGACCACGAAATGAATTGATGAACGATCCTGAACCTATATCGAACGATCGTGCCCCTCGGATCTAGTAATTGATCCTCGCGATTTTATTGACAACCGAAGTCGTAACGGTCTGAATAAATTGCACGTGACTCGATTTAGTATCAGTCACGGGTCGAATATGCGAATTTTCCCAACGAGCCGCTCGTTAGTCTGAGAAACGCTTGAGTTGCGTTTAATAAAATTTGATTATTTAATTTGGCCCAAATTGGACACCGGAACATTTGGAAGTCACGACGGGACGTTAGGACGACGTTGCGGTTGTAACGTGCAATTTTGGACTGCCTCGATTCCTTCAGAAAAATTCGATTTCGGCGAGAAACGGAGAAAGTGACCATTTTACCCCTAAGGATTATTAAAGGGTTAGTTTTATGGGCAAAGGGCATTTTGGTAATTTTGCCCTAAAATTTGGAAAAGACAATTTTGCCCTTGGACTTTTTGAGAAATTACAAGATTACCCTTGGATATTTTGAGTGAGATTCGATCTGGGCCGTTGATTTCAAGATAAGATCGAATCTGGACCGTTGGATCAAAATTGTGAGAGAGGGGTATTTTGGTCAATTGCCGTTTTGGTCAAAAGTCACTATTTTAGTCTAGACCCACTCTCTCTCTCTCCTCATTCCCCCTCTCCACCGTGAAGCCCCTCCCCCCCCAACCGTGAGCTCTCTCTCTCTCTCTCTCTCTCCCCTTGGCCGATCGCCGCCGAGCCGTGCCGCCATTCGTCGCCATCCCCGCCGATTGCCACCGCTATTCCGCTCTAGCCGCGCTAGTCTAGAGTCCGGTAAGTCGCAATTTAACCCTTGCCTAGGACGTCGGGTATTAACGAGTTCGTTTAGACACGGTTTAGAGTTAGATTAGGGGCTGATTGTGATGGATTTAAGTG